AGAGAACCAGAGATCAAATTGCCAACACCCACTGGATCATCGAAAAAGCAAGAGAGTTCCAGAAAAACATCTATTTCTGCTTTATTGACTATGCCAAAGCCTTTGACTGTGTGGATCACAATAAACTGTGGAAAATTCTTAAAGAGATGGGAATACCAGACCAGCTGACCTGCCTCTTGAGAAATCTGTATGCAGGTCAGGAAGCAACAGTTAGAACTGGACATGGAAGAAGAGATTGGTTCCAAAAAGGAAAAGGAGTATGTCAAGTCTATATATTGTCACTCTAGGCTCTACTGGGTAAATAATAAGCCATATAAGATGACAGCCTTAGTATGCTCTAGTATGACTTTACAAAGGCATACAAAGACTTTACAAATTTTGCTTTATTTCCAAATTTGGGATAATTTTTCTTAAAAGTTTAAATTTGATGGTGCTGGAGAAAACTCTTAAGTTCCTTGGATGCAAAGAGATCAAACTAGTCAATCCTAAAGGAAATCAACAGTGAATATTCATTGGAAGGACTGATGCTGAAGCTGAAGTTCCAATACTTTGGCCACTTGATGTGAAGAGCCAACTTATTAAAAAAGACCTTGATGCTGGGAAAGATTGAGGGCAGGAGAAGAGGGTGACTGAGGATGAAATGGTTGAATGGCATCACCAACTCAATGGACATGAGTCTGAGCAAACTCTAGGAAATAGTGAACGACAGGGAAGCCTGGTGTGCTGCAGTCCACGGGGTCCCAAAGAGTCAGACATGACTTAGTGACTTAAAAACAACAGAAGCAATAGGAATACACATGCCAGGTTGCCAAAGTTCACTTAATACAGTAGAATTCTACTTATGTTAGTTTCAGAGTATGAACTGAATATCTATTACATTCTAGAGCTGAATAGAAAGGAAAACAAGATCAAATTAGCCTTGTCCTTTACATCTTCCTGACCATTTTGGCCCTACTTACACTAAATATAAATTGGGAATACCATTTATTTCATTTGGCAATTGATCTTCAAAATACGGTCTTGGAGTCCAAATATATTTTTAACATTTTAAAAAATTATTGAAGATCCTAAAGAGTGTTTCCTGTTTTGTCTATCAGTATTTAATATTATTAGAATTAAACTAAGAAATTTAGAAAATATTTGTTAACTCATTTAAAATAATAATATTCACTACTTAATATAAACAACAAAATTTTTGTGAAAAGGAACTACATATTCCAAAACCCCACAAAGGTTTGGATTTGATTCAGGGGGAGCCAGTTACAGTTTTCCACAGAGACTTTGGTGCTTCTGAAACTTCTGATTAGATGAGATTTGATAAAATGGTGGTCCAGGATGGGCCTAGGAGTCATCATATACATTTTGATATTTATATAGCCTGATTTACTACACTGATTAAATTTTTATTTTTACTTTATTTTTTAAAAAAATATTTATTTATTTGGCTGTGCCGGCTCTTATCAGTAGCCTACATGATCTTCAGTTGTAGCAAGTGGGATCTAGTTATCTAACAAGGGCTTTAACCTGGGCCCCCTGAATTGGTAGTGCAGAATCTTAGGCACTAGACCACCAGAGAAGTCCCTCATTAAATTAAAAAAAAATTTTTTTTAATTCTCTTGGGGACTTCCCGTGTAGTCCCGTGATTAAGGCTCCACCTTCCAATGCAGAGGGTGCGGGTTCAATCCCTGGTCAGGGAACTAGGATCCCACATGCCACAGGAAATGTCCAAAAAGTTAAAAAAAAAAAAAAAGAAAGCGTTCTCTGATCCACAGGTCTTGTGTAATCAGTTAAGAGTAGGTATACATTGATTGTGAACATTATTTAAACAATTTCTTGCTGTTTTAACTGGGCTTTTTATCACAGTAAAATCACTATAATGTAAGCTCCTTGAGGGCAGGGCTTTTGATTCTGATGTGTGTTTTAGTCACTGCTAAATCTCGTTCCCAGGACAGTGAGCATGTAAATATTTTGTAAATATTTGTGGAACGAATGAGTGAACAAAATGAATGTGATATTTCTAGGACTGTACTTCCTTCTGGATAGTACGGATGGTTTCATTCAAAACTATTTATCTTAAATTTTTCTTTTTTGTAATTTCCAAATGTGATTATGCAGAGTATCTACTTTTAAAAAGGTTGGGGGAGGGACTCTGAATACACCTTTGTGGTAAGAGTCATAAGTGCTTGAGAATTCTTTTCAAAGATGAACAGTTTACATTTACTGATAGTTTTTTAAAAATTCTGAGAACCATGCATGTAATAAGCTAGCAAAAATGTTTTCAATAAATTCTCAGTTTTGACCCCTATCTCTCTGTTTTCCAGCTAACTAGAAGCATCTGTGATTTTTGAGATCTCTTTACATATTCTAGATACAAGTCCTTTGTTGGATACGTGGTTTGCAAATATTTTTGGCCAATCTGTAGTTTGTTTTTTCATTCTCTTTACAAGGCTTTTTGCAGAGCAAAATTTTTTACCTTTGATGAGGTCCAATTTATGTTTGTCTTTTCATGAACTATACCTTTGTGTCAAGTCTATGAACTCCTTGCTTAAGTTCTGAAAATTTTCTACGTATCTCTAAAATTTTAAAGTTTCACTTTTACATTTAAATTCACATTCCACTTTGAGTTAATTTTAGTGTAACAAGACTTCCTTTTTCTAAGCTTATGGATGCCTTTTAAAAGCCTCGTATCAATAATTAAATATGGACTGGATAATTTCCTATGATAGGGTTTGTATATAAGATCTCTTGTTTGGTTGTAGCATGAGAAACAGTAAAAGTACCTTCATATTGCATAATTTCAGAAGATTCACCAGTACCTGTAATCAACAGAACACTAAAGTTAAAAGCCCGACTTCCTAGAAGCACAGTTAACCAGGTGATTCAGGATAAAAGAAAAATGTATTTAAATTAAGTGACCATGCAATAGGACTAGAAAAAATTTTTATTTTGCCAAAATTGCCTAGACACTTTATCAAATGTTCACTCATTTGGAGCTGTGGAGATCTAAGTAGTAGTGAGTAACTAGAGGAGGACGAAGAACAAAGCCACAAGAATTAACCTCAGAATACATCTCCTATCTTGCTCTTGGTGTTACTAACACGCCAATGGCTGCATTGCCCATTTTTATTTGGTATGTTTGTCCAGGGGTCAATAAACTACAGCCCACAGTCTAAACATGGCTTGCTGCCTGTTTTTATAAAGTTTTGCTGGAACACAGCCCTGTCCCTTTGCTGACTCACTCATAATCTGCCTGCTTTTGCACTACAGTGGTAGAGGTGATCAGTTGTGACAGACTGCATGACCCGCAGTCTAAAGTACTTAATTCTCAGGCCCTTTACAGAAAAATTTTTGTTATTCTTATTCTCATCTGACAAATGCTGATAGTTATGTGAAAAGCACCCTGGTATGAAATATTTCTAAGGTGTGATATCAACTGTTTGGAACAAAATAACAAAGAGGCAGCAGCATGGATTTGTAAGGAATCTACCTTGAGGGGGTAAACGGTTTTCTGTTTGAAGCTGAAATTCCTCCTAACACAACTCTAAGCATTGTCCCTGAGTCTGTGCTCAGATATCAGTTTGTGTTCCTGAACGTCAAAGATGAAGATGTTTATAAGCAAGTGTCTATGTCATTAATATCTGGTAATAGAAATCCCACAAAGTTGAGAAAATATTTTGGTATGAAAGCAAAAAAAAACATGTTTATGATCAAAATAAGTCATTTTAAGACCCTTGTCCAAAGAATTTACATTATATATCTCAGAAAAGTATAAACACATTTCAAATTTACGCTCTGGCCTCAACAGGACACTAGCCAGAACTTTAGCCGAGCACCGTGCCTGGCGCACACTGTCTTCTTGTCCCTGTATCTGAGGTTGCTGACATCACGGGGTGGGCACGTGATGGCACCAATCATTAGGCTGTGGCATGTCATCTCTAGAAGGACTGATGCTGAAGCTGAAGCTCCAGTACTTTGGCCACCTGATTCAAAGAACTCACTCATTAGAAAGACCCTGCTGCTGGGAAAGATTGAAGGAGGGGAAGGGGACGACAGAGGATGGCATCACTGACTCAATGGATGAGTTTGAGCAAGCTCCAGGAGACGGTGAAGGGCAGGAAAGCCTGGCGTGCTGCAGCCCATGGGGTCGCAGAGTCAGACACGACTGAGCAACTGAGCAGCAAGCACAAGCTCTACAGCCAGCCTTTCAGACTCTGTGATGCCAGAATTCTGCAGACCTCGCATCTGCTTTGCCAGCTGGCTTCCTGTGCCAATAGGATGTGTTCGGGGGACACGGCAAGCCAGCGTGACAGAGGAGGGACTCACTCTTTCTTCCAGTGGTGACCCAGCTTCGGCCCTTCACTGGCAGTGGCAGCTGGTTCCAGTCTCCAGCTTAATTTTAGAAATTACTGTATGCACTTGCGGGGTTCCCTGTGTGACCCCGTCCCCAACACCTACTCTAGAAAGCTTCTAGAGAGCCCTGACCTCCTTTGTGAAGTTCAGTCCCCAAACAGTTTCTGGGACACAGAAGATGCTGAAGAACCTGGGGGTGACTGTCACTCACAAGGTTATCCAGGGCTCTGACACCATTCTTGTTTGCTGCAGGGACAGGCCGCCTTGGTCGCTTTCTCCTACAGAAGCGGGTGGGCGTAGGGAAGTGGGAAGCTACTAACCGCCCTCCTCTACCTTACTTTCCCACTTCCTCCATCCCCCCGCCCCGCGTCCGTCCTTCCCCGGCCCTCCGCCCTCCTCCCTCCTTCCTCCTCCTGCCTGCCCTTCCTTCACAGCCCTCTGTCACGTGTCCAGCCTGAGGCCGCAGCCTTGCCTCGCGCAGGCGCTGGGCGCACCGGACCCGACCACCGGCCAGGCGGGGGAACGGCGCGCGGGGGGATGGCGATGGATGGCGCTGGGGGGTGTGGATGGATGGCGCGGGGGTGAGGGTGGATGAATGGCGCGGGGGGCGGGGTGGATGGCTCGCGCGGGGGGGGATGCCGCCCGGGGGGATGGCGCTCGTGGGGATGCGCTTGCTGCTGTTGTTCTTGGTCGGGGACTCGGCAGGTAATGGTCACTAGTGGGCTTGGCAGCCAAGGGAAGCGGAAGAGTTACCTGGGGGTGGGGTGGGGTGGGGTGGGGAGGGGGTCTCATCGCTTCTCGGTCTTTCGACTGGGATCAAATGTAGAGGGGGCTCTCGCCAACGACTGCCCCTCCACGCACCCGTTACTGGCGGTTCCAGGCCCGCCCCGCGATTGTCTAAGGACACGAACTCGGGGGTGTGCGCGGGTGGCATGCTGGAGCCACAGTGTTGTTGCTTGGGCTTTTCTACTGACCCTGCTGCCTGCGCTTTCTCCCTTAAAAAGCAGATTTTCTGGAGTCCAGGATCAGGGGTCGGGTTTTTCTGTACCCGGGGCCCTGCAGAACCTTGGCAGGAAATGTACAGGAATCAGGAATTGTGAGTGCCAAGTGTGCCAGGCACTCTGGGGCTCATGAGAAAAGGGCCTCGGGCCAGCCAGACTTGACACCCACTTTAAAATGAAGTTAAAATGGTAACATCTAGTGGTAAGCTTTGTATTTATTATTCTGAGCAACAAAGGAAAAGAATATTGTGAATTTTTGAGTTATTTCTCTGACTTTTGGGTTCTTTTAGCCAGGAAAGTTGATTTTTTATTTCTTAAATACTGTGAAGAATGAGAGGGGAAATGGTCCCCTGATGATGGAGGGCCATGGAGCAAAGAGCAAGGGATCCTGAGGCATTAGGGAAGCCCAGGGGGCAGTAGTCAGGGTCCTTCCTGCAGTCACTTTTGTGAATTAGCCGGTGCTCACATCTCTTGGCTGGCAATACCTCTGAGGTAGGTGTCAGTCAGTACGGGCTGTGGGTTCATCTTTCGCTGGCTCTGAATGTCCTGCCAGATACAGGGACCCATTCTGCGGGGACTGAAGCTGCACTGAGTTCTGTCGCAGCTGAAGCTCCATCCTGTTCCTCTCGGAAGCCCCCCTCAAGGAACAGTAGGTGGGCCGCGAGACATGGCCTCTTCTGCTGTTGCTCCAAGGGTTGGGTAAGCATTCTCCCACTGAGGCTCAGGGGAGGTTCTCTCTGATCTCTAAGCTTCCACTGGCTCCTCAGGAAGCAGCTGCTGAGGGTGAGGGGAGATGCATGCAACCCTGTGCATGTATGTATCTGAGGAAGGCGTGAGGGCCTCTTCTCTGACTTTTGTTATGTAGCTCCAAAGCCGTCTCTCAAGCAGACCTGTTAGAGTGGTCAGTTATAGAACTGTACCAAACGTTTTCTGTGAGCTTGCTAAGAGAGGTGCCAGAATACAGCTGAATATACCTTCTAGAAGTTCTTCAAAAGCTGGACATGAGAGAGAAAGGGAGAAGGTGCAGCTTGTATAAATTACAAGCTGGATTTAAAAAACCCCTTATAAAAAAATAAAAATAAAAAATAAAAAACCCCTTATGATGAAGAGTTGACCTTAATCATATCCTTTTAAATGTCCGTTTTCTTCTTGCAGCCTCTTTGAATGCTCAATTTAGTCAACATTCAGAACATAGAACAGTAAGTAAGAAACCACTTCTACTGTTTCGACTAATACAATGAAGCCCACAAAGGTTGGGGTTGGAGACTGGTTTTCAGGTCTGACCTGCCACTTTGGAAACAGTTGACTGAATCTTTAGAAACCAGATTATCAGGCAGGCTTTTTGATAACACTGTAAATTTTGGTTGAAAAAGGCTCAGTCCTTGGGATCTCCCTGGTAGTCCAGTATCTAAGACTTAGAGCTCCCAATGCAGGGGGCCAGGGTTTGATTCCTCATCAGGGAAACGCATGACGTAACTAAGAGGTTGCATGCCACAAACTAAAGATCCCACAAGCTGCAACCTGGCACAACCAAATAAATAAATAATTTTTAAAAAGAAAGGAAACAGCTCAGACCTTGGGAGCCTCAGGGCTTTGTTTCCTTTGATGATTCAGAAGGTTCTGGGCCTAATAATTATACGTTGTATTAGACATTTTATGTATATTAACAAATTAGATTGTGTGAAAGTAAAGGAAGACCAACCAAATAAGAACAAGAAAAAGGAGTTATTCAACATGCACCCCAGTGTTCATTGCAGCACTGTTTACAATAGCTAAGACATGGAAGCAATCTAAATGTCCATTGACAGATGAATGAAAAAATAAGATCGCACACACACACAGAGGCATATTGCTCAGCCATAAAAAAGAATAAAATAATGCCATTTGCAGCAATATGGATAGACAGAGAGATTATCATATTAAGTGAAGTAAGTCAGAGAAAGACAAATATCATGTGATATCATTTAAATGTGAATCCAAACTATGACACAAATTAACCTATCTGTGAAACAGAAACAGACTCAGATACGGAGAAGAGATTTGTGGTTGCTAAGTGGGTGGGGGAGGGAAAGATAAATTAGGAGCTTGGGGTTAACATATACACACTACTATATATGTAACAGATAAACAGAAGGACCTGCTGTATAGCATGGGGAGCTGTATTCAGTGTCTACTAGTGACCTATAATGGAAAAGAATCTAGAAGAGAATCACTTTGCTGTACACTGAAACATAACATTGTAAATAACTATACGTCAGTTATCTTAAGAAGTTAATCAAAAAAAGAGCTAGTTATTCAGAGCTTGATGTAGCAAGTGAGTCAGTCATGTCACTTGTGTTTTAGCTGAGACTCAAAGGCAGAGGAGTGGGAAAGCTTTATAATGGGAAAGAGGGAAGGTATTAGGTGTGCCCCGAATGAGGCTGTTGGCATGGGGAGGCTGGAAGTGGGAAACTAAAGGCAGTCATAGTATGTGAATGGTTCAGAGGGCATATTTGGCTTTCTCTAATTGGGCCTAAGTTGGAAGCAGGGGTAAAATTTGGGGAAAATATCAGCTGTTAATCAAGTCTTGGCCGTTTGGGGCCAACTGTTACATAGTGCACTGCTTGATTACCTGGGTGTCACCAGAGATAGCTGTCTGATTTCTTACAAGTCTGATTCACAGCAGGTTGGCTTCCTGGACTGGTTATTCTCAATAATGGGCTGGTTTCCTGGCTAGCTTGCTAAGGTTTGGAGGCATAGTTCTGTTTTAATATCTGGCCTGACACTGTCCATTTTTCCATGCAATCTCTGTTCTCACAATGACCTCGTAAAATAAATAGAGATGATTATTTTACATACATGCTATTGACCTCAGTGGATAAGGTAACTTTGAGTATTCATGTCAGTGCAGACCTTTTCCAGCAAACTTCCTACCCTGTTTTCTTCCTCCAAAGTAGACATAAATGCACTTTCTCTTTGTTTCCATTCACACTATACTGCATCATCATCATTACCATACTAGTGTAGGGGAGGAAAAAAATCTTCCCTCTACCCTTCTAAATTCTCAGCTGGGGTCTATACAACAAAGGAGAGATTAACCAGAGAAAAATAAACAAATGTTTATTAACAAGTGTATTGTGCATACACATGGGAGTACTCAGAAATGAGTAACTCAAGAGGTGGCTTAGAAATCTGCCTTATCTTGCATACTTAACAGAAAGCAATAAATTTGTGAAAGATACACCCAACTGAATGTAGAGTTCTAGAGAATAACCAGAAGAGATAAGAAGGCCTTCTTAAAATGAGCAATCCAAAGAAATAAAGGGAAACAAAAGAATAGGTAAGACTAGAGATTTCTTCAAGAAAATTGGAGCTATCAAGGAAATATTTCATACAAGGATGGGGATGATAAAGTACAGAAATGGTAAGGACCTAACAAGCAGAGGAGATTAAGAAAAGGTAGCAAGAATACACAGAAGAACTATACCAAAAAAAATCTTAATGACCCAGATAACCACAATGGTGTGGTCACCCACCTAGAGCCAGACTGGAGTGTGAGTGAGGTCAAGTGGGCCTTTGGAAGCACTACTATGAACAAAGCTAGTGGAGGTGATGGAATTCCAGCTGTCCTAAACTATGATGCTGTTAAAGTGCTGCACTCAATAGGTCAGCAAATTTGGAATACCCAGTCTTGGCCACAGTGTTTCCACAGGACTGGAAAAAGTCAGTTTTCATTCCAATCCCAAAGAAGGGCAATACCAAAGAATATTCCAACTACTGTACAATTGTCCTCATTTCAGATACTAACTAACAAGGTAATGCTCAAAATCCTTCAAGATTGGCTTCAGCAATACATGAACCAAGAACTTCCAGATGTACAAGTTGGGTTTAGAAAAGGTAGAGGAACCACAGTTCAAATTGCCAACATTCGTTGGCTCATGGAGGAAGCAAGGGGGTTCCAGAAAACTTCTGCCTCATTGACTACACTAAAGCCTTTGACTGTGTGGATCACAACAAACCAAGGAAAATTCTTAAAGAGATGGGAGTTCCAGACCACCTTACCTGTCTCCTGAGAAACCTGTATATGGGTCAAGAAGCAACAGTTAGAACTGGAAATGGAACAACTGACTGGTTCCAAATTGGGAAAGGAGTACGTAAAGGCTATATATTGTTACCCTGCTTATTTAACTTATATGCAGTGTATATCATGTGGAATGGTGGGCTGGATGACTCACAAACTGTAATCAAGATTGCTGGGAAAATATCAGCAACCTCAGATATGAGATGATACCACTCCAATGTGAAGAGGAACTAAAGAGCCTTTTGATGAGGGTGAAAGAGGAAAGTAAAAAAGCTAGCTTAAAACTCAACATTCAAAAAACTAAGATCATGGCATCTGGCCCCAGCTCTTCATGACAGATAGAAGGGGGGAAAGTAGAAGCAGTGACAGATTTTATTTTCTTGGGCTCCAAAATCACTGTGGCCGGGGACTGCAGCCATGAAATCAAAAGATGCTTGTTCCTCGGAAGGAAGGCTATGACAAACCTAGCCAGCATGTTAAAAGCGGAGGCATCACTTTGCCGACAAAGGTCCATATAGTCAAACCTATGGTTTTTCCAGTAGTCATGGACAGATGTGAGAGTCAGATCATAAAGAAAGCTGAGTGCCAAAGAATTGATGCTTTCAAATTGTGGTGCTGGAGAAGACTCTTGAGAGACCCTTAGACAGCAAGGAGATCAAACCAGTAAATCCTAAAGGAAATCAACTCTGAATATTCATTGGAAGGACTGTTGCTAAACCTGAAGTTCCAATATTTTGGCCACCTGATACAAACAGCTGACTTATTGCAAAAGACCTTGATGTTGGGAAAGATTGAAGGCAAAAGGAGAAGGAAGCAGCAGAGGATGAGATGGTTAGATAGCATCTTTGACTCAGTGGACATGAATTTAAGCAAGCTCTGGGAGACAGTGAAGGACAGAGGAGACTGGCATACTATATAGTCCATGAGGTTGCAAAGAGTTGGACATAACTTAGGGACTGAATAACAACAATGTTTGTAGATAAATGACAGGACAAAGGAAAATAGTTTTAGGCTTTCAAGGGTGGCAAACAGTAGGAAGATAAATAATGGGAGGAAACTAATGGAATAAAATTTGTTTGCAGGTTCCTTAGGTGCCATTTCTGGGCTGATAAGAAACCAGAATCATTTCCAATAAATGAGAATTTATATTCTGCCTTTAGGCAGGAAAGGGGAAGTCAAAACTGCATGTTGACTGCCTTTAGCTCCAAGTGATGTTTATGTCAAGGAGCCATATTTTGGGGTGACATAGCCCGGGTTGCTTTAACAGTAAAGGATACCAATCAGTGTGCTAAATTCTTTATATAGAATCACTCACTTAATCTTTTACAGCACTAGCAGTGGGTACCATTATTATCTCTCTGGCCAAGGTCACATGGAAATGGTGCAACTGTAGTTCCAACCTCGGCATCTGACTCCAGATCCAGTGCTTTTAATTACCCCATCATAGCAATGAATTGTAATTGTCTGTCTCCCCCCAGTAAACTGTATATTTTGTGATGTCTTATTGTTTGGTGCCCAATTTTCAGCACTTAATGGATACCCAATAATATTTTTGCTCAGGAGACTCAGTTTTTCTTGGGTTTGAATTTCTTTCAGAAAATGGGGATAGTAACAGTGAAAATTCACTCTCCCATCCTCCATTTAAGCCACTTACAAATGCCCCTCTCCTTTCTCTCTGAATAATTTCCACAGGAGACCAATCACTGACTGGTTGTAGATTACTATCTTGTATGACTCCTCTCTTACAAAGCGGACTATTTCCCATCAGTGTAGTTATATTTTCACCAAGACTCAAGTGGCTGTGTTCTCAAGCCTATTATGAGAGTTTCCAGTCTTATTTTAATTAAAAATGTAAAGACAGTATAAACATGATTATAAAGAAATAAAGCCATTTATATGAGAACTGTGTCAAATACTTTTGAGACTTGCTAAAAGACAAATTGTAAGACAAAATAATTGCTCTTGAATTAGGTGTAGGTAAAACAATAGTAAGTAATCGGGGAATTGTTTTTTAATCGTACACTGCCTTGTTGTAACCATGTCTCTACATTCTTGCCATATTTAAAAGTGGGTAGTCTTACCCCTGGGAGACATGTAGACTGTCACTTTGATTGTCCTCACCAGGGAGTTGTTGCTGGCATCCGGTAGATAAAGAACAAAGACAATACTAAACATCCCACAACACACATGACAACCTCACTCAGCAGAGAATTATCTGGCCCCAAATATGAGTGCAGTTGAGAAATCCCATCTAAAAAAAACAAAACAAGAAATCGTAGGTGATTTATTATGGGTATGATTTTTGCAGTGATAGCACATAGAACTCAATTTGTTGAAACATTAATAGGAAAAGTCTTATGTTGGTGTCAGGTAGGATTAGATTCAGCTGCAAGTAACATGAATTCAAAACAATAGCTCACGGAGCTGCCATCAGGATGTGGCCTTTGTCGTCGCGGTCTGTAAAGGGGAGGGTTTCATGCACCCAGGAACAGGAGAGAGGAATGGACAAAGGAGACTAAAAATTAGGGGAACCATAGGACAGGCTCAATTTTCCTTTAAAGGAGGCCCTCAGTAGCTATTACACAATGCTCCCATTTGTATCCGGTCAGGCTAATCTTGATCGTGTGGGCATACCTAGCTGCAGGGGAAGTTCTTTTAGTGTAAGCAGCATTACCCCTAGCCATGTGCCTTGTCATTGTCTTACATCAAAAAGATTGGTGATCCTATTTTCTTTTATGTTTTAAGAGAAAATGCTTAGGGTATGTATTTTTTGTTATTGTTTCCCTGCTTTAATTGACTTTTTCAATAAAATGACCAATTACCAGTTGTCCCAATCTCATTGGAAAGAGACTATCTAGTCTCCTGTGGAAGCTGTCCTGGAAGCCGTCATCTTAGTGAGCCTAGAGCAGGAAAAACACATCAGACTCCTAGAAGGAGATAGAAGGCTGAACCGAGGGTGGAAAGGGTCAAAAGTTTCTCTTTAGTTCAGAGTTTGGCCAATGCCCTGTCCTACTTAGGTCTCTATGAATCCACATAATATGAAGGAAAAGGTATATTTCATTTATTCAGAGTACTAAACACTTATTCTGAAGTGAGGAAAGACGATCACTATTACTAAAACAAAACAAATACAGCAGGTCATATATTCAACCTGTTATTAGAGTGAGCCTCTGCACGCTTTGGTGTGACCACTGTGACCGGTTCTAGTCCTGGTCCTGCTGGAGACTAGAGGTTATGAGCAAGACCTATTACCTCTCTGGCCTCAATTCCATTGAATCTGAGGGTTGAGATCCACGATCCAACGTCAGTTTGTTAGGGCTGCTGTAATAAAGCCACAAACTGAGTGACTTGAACACCAGAGATGGGTGGTCTCACAGTTCTCAAGGCTGGATGTCCAAACTCAAGGTGTCGGCAGGGTTTGTTCCTTCTAAGAGCTGTGAAGGAGAATCTGTTCCACTCCTCTCTCCCAGTATCTGGTAGTCTCAGGGATTCCTTGGCTTGTAAATGGCATTCTCTTGGTGTCTTCACATGATTTTCCCTCTGTGTGTGACTGTTTCCAAACTTTCTCTTTTATAAGAACACCAGTCAGATTAGATTAGGACCCACTCTTCTAAACTTATTTTAACATAATTTCCTATATAAAGACCCTAATTCCACATAAGGTCACATTCTGAGGTGCTGGGTGTTAGGACTTTAACACATCTCTCTGGGTGGACACAGTTAAACCCATAACAACCCTGAAGGTCTAATCCTGAACCTACTACTTACTTTCTTTAATGATGTTCAAATGCCAGTATATTAAAAGTCCAGAGAAAAAGATTAGATTCCTGAGCATGTCTGGGTGTTATGCCAAGGGATTAGGGGAATGGAACAGGCCATTCTCACGTAGGTGGTAGTGAAGAGCAAATTATGAAGCTGGAGGATAGATAGTTAAGTACGTTTGGTGGCATGCCTTGGACTTTCATTTTAAAAATCAGCCATATTGAACTTTCCTTTGAGGTCCTTTTTCTTACATAGCAGATATTGATCCACTGCTTCAACACTGCATCTGATTTTTGTATTAGAAAAAACATATTTTTGTATGGAAAAAGAAATCTTTTTGTAGGATATTTCCAGGAAATCTAGGAAAACTTAGGGCTTTGTCCTCCTCTAAACTGCTGTATGATGAGAATATCTCAAGTTATTCTCCAATTTCTGTCTTCCTTTCTCTTTTCTAGCCAAACTGTGATCAGTATAAATTACCAGGATGTCCCAGGGACTTTAGCCCTGTGTGTGGAAGCGACATGTCCACTTATCCCACTGAGTGTGTTCTGTGCATGAAAATCAGGTAACAATTTTATAATATAAACTAGGCCCATTTTCTTTAGTTCTTCTCTTGCATTTTGATTACTTAGCAGGTTGTGACTCTTCTTGGACATAAGAATCAAATGTGACATAAGTAGCTCTGTTTTAAGACTGACATTTAAAAAGACCCAGAATCTTTCAGTGTATTTTCTAGGTCATGGTTAGAAAAAGAAGTGTGTGATTAATCAATTATAGATGAGATAACTAAGTAATGTACTATCCAGGGATGGGTAGTTTCCCAAAATTTATTTAGGCTTGTAGCAGTGGTGCTGTTTGCAGCCCCATCACTCAAGTCTGTGCTGAGCACCAAGAAAGAAGACCTGGGTCTGTCATGCAGTGTCTATGGACAGTTCCAGGGTTATGATTCAGTGTGTTTTCAGAAGAATGAAAGAAGACAAGGGAAGGCATGATAGCTATTTCTGGGTTTTGAGGCAGATCATGGAACTGAGGCGCTGCTATGTAAAAAACCCTAGCCCATTATCAACCCCACCCATCCTGGCATAGCAGGAAGGGGAGCAGGGATGTCCCAGACCATCAAGAATGCTTTGTCCCTTAGGAGACAGGAGGGCAAAGTGGTGGGACTTGAGCACATGTCCTCTCATGAAAACACCAAAATCACAACTAACTGCTGAACAACCACTGACAGAAAAAAGCTGGAGCCTACCAAAAAAGATATTCTACCTTCAAAGATAAAGAAGAAGCCACAACAGGATAGTAGTAGGCGTGCTTTCATGATATAATCAAATCTCATACCCTCCAAATGGGTGACCCACAAACTGGAAAATAGTTATATTGCAGAGGTTCTCCCGCAGGAGTAAGAGGATGAGCCTCATGTCAGGCTCTGCAGCCTGGGGAGTCCAGCATCGAGACGAGGAGATTCAAGAGCATTTGGCTTTGCAGGTCAGCAAGGCTTGTGTGGAGGAGCTCCACGGGCCTGGAGGAACAGAAACTCCGCTCTTGGAGGGAACACACAAGATTTCACATATATTGAGTCTTAGGGCAAAGCAGTGACTCCATAGGAGCCTGAACCCGACATACCTGTGGGTCTGGGATGGTCTCCTGGGGAGGCAGGGATCAGCTGTGGCTCACTGGGGGACAAGGACACTGGTGGCAGAGACTTTGTGAAACATTCATTGGCATGAGCTCTCCTAGAAGCCTCCATTTTGGCAAAGATTCCTGGCCCAACCCAACAGCTGGCAGCCCCACCCATCAGCAGACAAGGTGCTTAAAGTTGTCCTGCACCAACATCTGCCTCTAAATACACCCCTTGACACAGCCTGTCTACCAGAGGGACAAGACCCAACTCCACCCACCAGTGGGTAGGTACCAGTTCCTCCCACTAGAAATCCTGCACAAGCCCCTGGATCAACTTCATCTACCAGGGGACAGACATCAGAAGCAAGAACTCCAGTTCTGCAACAAAGACCACAACATGGGTAGTTAGACAAAGTAAAATAGGAGAGGAGTAGGTTTCAGATGCAGAAACCAGATGAAACCCCACAAACAGCTAAGTGAGAGGTGGAGACAGGCGATCTGCCTGAAAAAGGGTCAGAATAACGACAGTAAAGGTGACCCAAGCTCTCAGAAAAAGAACGGAAGCACAGCTCAGAAGACATAAGAAATGCTTAATGGAGAGCTGGAAGATTTAAAGAACAAACAAACAGAGATGAACGATACAATATGTGAAATGAAAAATACACTAGAAGGAATCAATAGCAGAATAAATGAGGCAGAAGAACAAATAAATGAGCTGGAAGACATACTGGTAGAAAACACTGCTGCAGAACAGAATAAAGAAGAATGAAAAGAAATGAGACCGTCTAAGAGACCTCTGTGACAATATTAAATGCACCAATATTTTGCATTATAGGGGTCCTAGAAGAAGAAGAGAGAGAGAAAGGGCCTGAGAAAATACTTGAAGAGATAATAACCAGAAATTTCCCTAACATGGGAAAGGAAACACTCATTTAAGTCCAGGAAGTGCAGAGAGCCCCAGTGATAAACACAAGGGGGAATATGCCAAGACACATATAAATCAAACTAATAAAAATTAAAGACAGAGGAAATAAAGGAATAAAGAGAATAAACGAAAGGAGAAAAGCAACAAGTGACATACAAGGGTATCCCCATAAGATTATCAGTTGATTTTTTTTCAGCAAAAACTATGCAGGCCAGAAGGGAGTGTGTATTTAAAGTGATGAAAGGGGAAAACCTAGGACCAAGAATGTTCTACCCAGCAGAGGCACCAAAAGCTTTATAGATAAGCAAAAGCTAAGATAATTCAGTGCCACCAAACCAGTTTTACAACAAATACTAAAGGAACTTCTCTAGATGAGAAAGAAAAGGCCATGACTAGAAATAAGAAAATTACCAATGCAAAGCTCACCGGTAAAGGCAAAGACACAGTAAAGGTAGGAAATCATCTACACACAAACGTGAAGTCAAACAGCATCTGTGAGAGGAGGAGAGTACAAAGGCAGGATACTGGAAATGCATTTGAAATTAAGAGACCAGCACCTTAAAACAATCTTGTATATATCTCTATTTATCTATGTATATAGACTGATATATAAAACCTCATATAAGCACAAACCAAAAATCTACTATGGATACACACACAGAAAAAAAAAATCCAAATACAACTCCTAAGAGAACAAAAAAGGGAGGGAAGAAAAAAGACCAAAAAACAAAACAAAACAAAACCCCAAAACAATTAACAAAATGGCAGTAAAACCATACATATAGATAACTGGCCACCTGATGCAAAGAACTGACTCATTGGAAAAGACACTGATGCTCGGAAAGATTGAAAATGGGAGGAGAAGGGAACAACAGAGGATGAGATGGTTGGATGGCATCACCGACTTGATGGACATGAGTTTGAGTAAGCTCTGGGAGTTGATGATGGACAGGGAGGCCTAGCGTGCTGCAGTCCATGGGGTTGCAAAGAGTCGGACATGACTGAGTGACTGAACTGATAGATAATTAGCTTAAATGTAAATGGATTAAATGCTCCAACCATAAGACATAGACTGGTTGAATGGATTAAAAAAAAAGTGTCATCTACATGCTGTCTACTAGAGACTCACTTCAGATACAAGAACACGTGCAGACTGTAAGGGAGCGTCGAAAAAAGGTATTGTATGAAAAAGGTATTTCATACAAATGGAAAGCAAAGGAAAGCTAGAGTAGCAGCACTTAGGTAAGACAAAATAGACTGTAAAATAAAGACTGTTAAAAGAGACAAAAAAGGACACTACATAATGATCAAGGGATCAATCCAAGAAGAAATTACAACTGTAAATATATATGTCTCCAACATAGGAGCACCTCAATATATACATCAAATGCTTACAGCCAGAAAAGGAGAAAAGGGAGTTGGAGAAAAGTTCCACCTACATTGTTGGTGGAAATGTAAATTGGTATAGCCACTATGGAGTGTCCTCAAAAAACTAGAAATAGAACTACCATATGATCCAGTAATCCCATTCCTGGGCATATGCCTGGAGAAAACCATAATTTGAAAAGATACATTTAGCCCTATGTTCACAGCATCTATAGTCAAAACATGGAAGCAGCCTAAATAGCCCATCGACAGAGGAATGGATAAAGAAGATGTGGTATATATTCAATACTACTCAGCCATAAAAAAGAATGAAATAATGCCATTTGCAGCAAGCGGATGGACGGAGAGACACAGAAAAACAAATACCATGATATCACTTATGTGTATAATCTTAAAAATGATACAAATGAACTTAGCTACAAAACAGAAACTGACTCACAGGCTTCAAAAACAAACTTATGGTTACCAAAAGGGAAAGGTTGGGGGAGGGATAAATAAGGAGTTGGGGGTTAACATGCACACCACCATATATAAAATAGATAATTAACAAGACCTACTGCACAGCACAGGGAACTTCACTCAATATTCTGTAATAACCTATATGGGAGAAATAATCTTGAAAAAGAATGGATATATGTATATGTATTATTTTGTAATAACCTAAAAGGAAAAAGAATCACTCTGCTGTATACCTGAGACTAAAGCAACACTGTAAATGAGTTATACTCCAATATAAAATAAAAATTAAATAAAACAAGAATATATTTAATAATTAAACTCCGTGGCAGAATATTGTGTGTTTTTAAAGTCAGAAGGTATGTACAGGCAACCTACACACCCTGCACTATTAGCCGGAAAATAGGTCTTAACAACTCTATCTGGTAGAATGCTTAGTAATAAATATATTACATCGATTCCCTTATTGTAAAACACCCGACCAGCTCATGTGACCATGCCTTCTCCTCAAGGTATGCTGGTTTGTGTTTCAGGGGTCCATTCTCTGGCCTCAGTCTTAAGTGAGTTACCTAGGTCTTCTCAAGAGTGATTCCTTGGAAATGTTAACAGTTCCCTGTGCCCTAGGGTTAGGAGAAAAATAGCAGAGTTGGGCTTTCGCCCTTACTGTTTCCTAGATTTAGCTTTAAAAATGATTGTCACCCTGGAGAGAATATAATGTATAATGACATGGGTCTTTTTAATACAAATAGTGGGGCAGCTTCAATATGACAGATGATGTTTCAATATGGTGGCCCAGGGCAGGCTACCCCAAAATGTGCCACAGTAGCATATTAAATATTGTGTATTAAAGTTGCTTAAGAAAAAGCCAATGCATGAGGGATGCTTTGACCCTTCTGTCTCTCTCCCTGAAAGCAGGAAATTAATGTCATGTGAAAGATGCACTTCCGGCCTCTGAAAGTACACTCTTATATCAGAGATTGGGAATTTAAAGCTAAAAAGCCTGTATAAACAAACTTTGTTACTTTTTAAATTTACTACCCCAAGCCAAAACTCTGTACAGATTCTTCACTTATTAAGTACCCAAAGCCTAAGTTTCTTTGTCTTATCAATTCCTCACAAATGTATTGCTATTTTTGTCTAAAAAGAATAGAAGTTGCCTGTTTTGGTCACTTATTAGGTCC